CTAAGATTCAAACTGAAATCTTATAAACATATTTAAATAAAGATAATTAACCTATGAAAAATCGATAGTTTGTCATTATTTAGAAATAAAAATTTTATCTTAGTACCATCTTTTGCTAACAGTTATTCTAAATTACCTTATGATACAAAATGAATAAGTCTATACCTCGAGGAATAAAAATATATGTGAAGTTTCGGTAGTCTTTAAATTGTAATCCAGACTATACAAAATCCTTTAGAGACCTCTTGTGGTCAAAGTTAAGAATACAAAAAGGAACAAATACTTTAAAATGCATATTCTATAATTCCAAGCCATTCTTCTGTCTTTTTTCACACAGCTTTATTATTTCTTATGTATTAATAAAATATCAGTCATAACTGATAAAAACTGCTATTTCTACCTTCAGGTTTACAGCAGGACAAAAGGGAGTCTAAGTCTAAGACACAAGAATCTACCTATCACTGTTTAAAACAGACAAGAAGACGCCACCAAAAACAATACAACTTTTCTCCTTGAAAATTCAATGCTATATTGTTTACTGGTAGAAATATGGAACAGAATTTTGGCAAGCTATGTTGTTCATACCTAATTAAAAGCATTCTCTATCCCCATTACTGATTTTTTTTTCCTTTTTTTTTTAATACAGCTTGGATGTGTAGCTCAGGTTGATAAAGGCTAAGTCTAATGGCAGCCAAAATGGACCCACTAGCATTTAGGGGCGAAATTAAGGTAGCACACAGTAAAGCAAACTAAAGAAAAAGTAAATTAAAAGTTGAATGCTAAAAACTAAATTAAATTTTAAAAGAAAAAATAAATTGACTAAAATAAAATATAGATGATTACTGAAGTATTTTCAAAATGGGGAGAGATCTTTCTATGTGTAAAAATCATGGAATGCTACCATAAGCATGGAGGACTTAAAAACACATAGAAATAGTGAATTAAAATATAATCAAAAATGGTTTTTAAAGACAGTCAAAAAAAAAAAAAGGAAATCCCCAAGGGCCAAAACCAATATGAGAAACAGCTGTAGGTGGGAGATGACATCATAAAGGGCTATGCACAGAAAGCAGAAAAAGAAGGTCCAACATACCGTGTTCCCCCACGCATAAGACGCTCCCATGTATAAGATGCACCTTAATTTGGGGGCCCGAAATTTGAAAAAAAATGTATTACATAAAGTCACTGAACTCAAGTTTTATTCATCATAAAATTCATACAACTCATCACTGTCAAAACTCCCAACCATTAGCTTGTCCTCATCTGTGTCTGATGACGAATCACTGTCTTCATATATTGCCCCGTCCTCTGTTCCATCTACGGCATTTGAAATGCCACACTTCTTAAATGACTTGACAGCGATCTACAACCACTGTATAAGACGCACCCAATTTTTAGACCCCAAATTTTTCAAAAAAGGGTGCATCTTACACATGGGGAAATACGGTACTTCTTCTGGTAGGCGTTCCAGAAGAGAATAGGGGAAAGGCAGTATTAAAAGAGAAGGGCTGATAGGAAAAGAAAAAAAATAGCTTTGCTATTGAGAACTTTCTATGCTAGGCATTGTTTGAAGCACTTCACCTATAATAAGTTATTTAACCCTCACAATAACCCTATGAAGTAAGCACTCTTATGACCCTATTTTAAAGAAAAGAAAAATGAAGGACAACACAGTTGAGTGATTTACCCAAAATCACTATAGGGAAGAGCCAATTCTCCAACCCAAACCCTATGTCACAGGAGCCACACTATTTGACCACTTGACTTTTGAATCTCCACTACTCCATTCTGTCCATAGACACAGATTAGCTTTAAGGCGCTCCAAGAAATATGCATTAACTTTTGACTTTGCTTAGTCTGATATGCAAATAAAATAAAAATTACATGTGGTCGGTAAAGATAGGAAAAGTTAATACTCCCAATGATAACCAGAAAAGTGCAAATTAACACAAGACAAAGGCAGCCAGGTGGAAACTGCACTAGTCAGGGGGATGACTTCTTAAATTATGTAAATGTCTACCTACTATGCTGTACACCTAAAATATAAAATAATATTGAATGTCAACTGTAACTGAAAAAATTTAAAAGGGGAGAAAAGGTGAAGGGGAATAAGAGGTTCAAATTTCCAGGTATAAAACAAATAAGTCATGGGGATGTGATGTACAGCATAGGGAATATAGTCAATAATATTGTGGTAGTGTGGTATGGTGTCAGATGGTTGCTGGACTTAACGGTGATCATTTTTTTAGGTATATAAATGTTGAATAACTATGGTGTACTCCTGAAACTAATATAATATTGTATGTTAACTATGTTTTAATAAAAATCTTTTAAAAAAAGAGAAAAACAAAACAAGACAAAGACAGCCATGGAATTTGGAAAACCCACATAAGACACTCAAACTATCTTTGGTATGCCAAATGGCTCTTAAATCTCATTTGATGAATAAACATTTAAGAATATCACCAGGCAATGCTGTCTGCCAGCCAAATAATTCAGTTTTGGCAATATCGTTGTGGAATATTTTGATATTGTATTGAATTTTGCCTTTATTATTTTATAAAAATAATCAGAAATGAAAGTGTTGATCAATTGATCAACTTTAGTCTCAATTACATTTGACCCTTGAACATGTGTTTTAACTGCACAGGTCCCCTCATACATAGATTTTTTTTTTTTCAATAAGTATAGTCGGCCTCCATATCTGCAGGTTTCACATCCACAAATTCAACCAATCCAGGATTGAAAACAGTCTTTTCGATCCAAAGCTGGGAATATGAGAATGTGGAGGGCTGACTGTACACATTATTCTATGCCATTTTATATATGCATCTGTGGGTTTTGGTAACCATGGGGGGTCCTGGAACCAGTTCTCCACAGATACAAAAATTTAATGGACTGTGGTTAAGTTTTGGGGGAGTCAAAAGTTACACAGCAGATTTCTGACTATGGGGGTGGGGTCGGTGCCCTTAACTCCCGCATTGTTCAAGGGTCAGCTATATATCTGAGTTAAGCAAATATACGCAGTTATAAAGAAAATGAACAACCGCTGAGCTGCCAACAGGTGGCAGGATGGCTCAGCTAAAAAAAAAAAAAAAGAAAGAAAAATGAACAAAACCAAAGACATGAAATATTGGAAATAAAGTTTTAGAAAACTATGTTTAAAAAAATTAAAACATTTTAATTTTTCAGCTCTTTGAGAGCAGTACCCCTTAAAAGTATACTGACTTTTAATTATTCAAGTTTGAACTCACTGTCAGAAAAGCATTAAGAATAAAATACGAGAACTTGATACAGAATTTTCCATCTATCCAACTAGCAGAGATTATTTAAATAATCACCCACAATGTTAGCAAGGGTTCAGACAACTCTCTTACACTATAGCAGTGGAAGTGTAACTTGATATTACCAATATCAGCAAGCAATCAAAAGCTTTTTAAATATTTATACCCTCTGACCCAGTAATTTCACTTTTAGGAATTTAAATTAAGGAAATAATCAGAAATGCACACAAATATTTCCATGCATGGATATTCATCACAGCAATATTTATGAAAAAATGAATGCAAAATAAAAGGGGAATGGACAAATTATGATCCACTCATATGACTGAATGTTATGTAGTCATTTGGTTTTTTTCATGAGTACCCACTGAAATATTAGCAGATGAAATGATATTCTCTAGGATTTATTTCAAATAAATAATCCAAGGAGGGAAGGAATGAAATGAGATTAGATGAGTTGAGAAATATTGAAGCTGGCTGATCGATTCATGGGGGCTCACTACACTATTTAATATAATTTTGTATATAATTGAAAAATTTCCATATTAAAATAAAAAAATGAGAAATTTTAAGTAAATAAAAGACAGGATATAAAACTGATTTTGCAACATGAATCCAAGTTCATAAACAAAAAAAAGGTGAAATGCATATATGAAAATAATACACTAAATGTTTAATAGTAATTATCTCTGGGTTGTAGGATTTGACTTACTTTTATTTATTTATTTTTTGTAACTCCCAACTTTTCCTAGATAAACATGGATTAGTGTTGTAACCTGAAAAATATATTATGAAAGCTACTTTGAAAGACATTCAAGTCAAATGAAAACAGAACATTCTTAATTCCAAGAACAAAAAAAAACATATGGAACTTCACTTAATCCATTAGCTTGATTTTGTAGCTGATTTGTCAGCCTACTAAATGAAAATCTTTATGGGCTCTCCTGTGTAGTCTAAAGCCCCAATTCCTCCAATATGAAGTCCTCTGCACTGGAACCACAGCCACCTTTCTGGTTTCTTCTCCACTACACTCCTCCCAGTGGCAGGCGCCTTCATGCTTGCAACGTGATACATCATGCTTTGTGCGTGCAACTAGGTATGTCCACATCTGCCTCTCCTGTTGGATTATAAACTCTGCCAGATAGAGCACAACCACGTCTTCTTCTCCAGTGCCTACACACTACCTTGTAAATAAGAGGTGTGACCTTAGACCTAATAAATAAAACTCATGGACATAGCCACAAATTGAAACCTGCAGCCCTGATACAGCACTTTCAAAATTATATAAACTTACTAAGAAATGAACTTTAAATTACCTCCAGAAACTGGAGATTAATTACCAAATAATATCATTAAACCCCTTTAAAAAAAAAATCAACTTCTAAAATCCTACATGAAGGTAACACTACGGGTCGTTCTGGTTTTCTTTTTTGAAATTCCTACTACTATTGTTGAAACATTTCTATAAATAAAAACCTTTTAGGGCCTGCCGAGTGGCTCATTGGTTAAGAGCTCGCTCAAAAGATTGAGCTCTGAGCAACAGCGGTTCGATGCCCGGCCCGAGCTGAGCTGCCACTGAGCTGCCAACAGGTAGCAGGATGGCTCAGCTAAAAAATTTAAACAAAAAAACTTTTTAACAAGTTTAACAAGTGCCAGTTTTGGAATTAAACCCCAGTTTCAGAACCAGCATTACTCTCCAGTGATATGCCATCTTACCTAACAGCTGTGACTCTATGGATAAGCATCTCCGTTTGCTCTGATAAGTGTGTTGGAAGCAGCAGCTCCACCGGCTGCAGGCACAGTATCCGAGTTTCTAGCTCTGAACGGGAAGCTGAGTCCTGGAAACTGTCAAACACAATCTCACCGGTGGCGGGCTGCACTCCCTGAAAGCAAATAAAAATATGTCACAGAAAATATTTTTTCCCAATTATAACTACGACACAGCATAAACATGGAAACAGCAAAGACGATATACACTCAACAGTATGTACTCCATTTCTAAAGCATTTGAAAACCTGTCTGCTTTCCAAGAAGTCAGATTCACCAATATGTAAACTGCACTAGATGGGATTTGAGAAGGACACCCTGAGTCCAAGTCCAGGATCAAGCAAACATGATGGAGTGACTATGACAAGTCACCAAGTCCTCAGTTTCCTCCTAAGTGGGAATAAACCTGCCTATTTCCCTCATAGGGTTATCAAAAGGGTGAAATTAGAAAACAAACTGGAATGCTTTGTGAACTATATAAAGCACGATACCAATAGCAGAAGTAAGTGACATATTCCTAGTCAGCTGGCCACAAGAGTAGTAATAAATTACTATTATATAAAATTAATGAGTATAATTTTGCAAAAATCAAATCAAATATAACAAACTCTGAATGAACCACAAGTAGACAGTCTATCCAAAGAAATAACGATGATAACTAAAAGCAGTAATAGCAAAGATAAGCTAGAAAAGATCAAGGTATAAAAAGAGTTGTTTTGGTTGTAAATAATTTACCCAAGGTCACAGGGTGATAAAGTGGCAGAACCTAGATTCATGGAGTCTGACTCCACAGGCCACACTCTTATCCACTACAGATGCTTAAAAAATGCATCGGGCTGGTTACAACTGTATTAGCTAACAGGAAAAAAAAAAAAATAACCAACCCCTACACTCATATGCTGATGATGGAAAGTAAATTGACACAGACTCTTTTGAAAACAGTCTGGCATTATCTAGGAAAGTTGAAAACATCCATACCCCATAACTCAACAATTTCTCCCCTAGGTATATATTCTTGAGAAACTCAGATATATAAGAAAACATGTGCAAAAAAGTTTATAGCAGCATTCTTTGTACAACCAAAAACTAGAAAGAACCCACAAGTACATCAGCAGAAGAACGAATAAACAGTAATTATAAAATGAAATACATTACAATTGACAATGAAAGAACTACTACAGTTACATGTAAATAAGTAAATAGTTCTCATATTCAAATAGTAATTTGTAAACAAAAGAAGCAAGACCCAAAAAATTATATACATGTTTACATTTGTATATAGTTGAAGGTGATAAAACTGGAACGAAATGCAAGGAAATTATCACCAAACTCTGGGATTACAGCTCTCTCTGGAGGGAAGGGGCCCTTCTGTACGTGTTACATTACAGCCGATTCCAATACCACCCCGCCATGCATTAGCCTCTAACCCTATTAGTTAGGAGGGAGTGCCTCGGTATGACTTGAGGCACCGTAATCTCTCTGAGGGAGTGTCTCGGTATGACCAAGGCCGGTAAAGCTCTCTCTCAGGGGAGTGTCTCAGGTGACTGGGACCTATTGGAATGATAATAGTTGTCTCCCCTGGGAGGACACAGTAACAAGTGTTCTGGGGCTATGTGGCCAGAAGTGTGAAGGCATAGCATTTGCTGGAACACAATGGGATATGTTAATGAAAAGAGGACTTAAGGCACACAAATCACACAGGGTTGCTAATTGATTGACAGCAGTTTTACTTCTTTGAAGATTCTTAATAAAAACCATGCGCTGACCCGATTCGGGGCTCAGTCTTCTCTGGCTGAGTCCCTTGGTCTCGCTCAAATCTTACTTTTGTCTCTTTACTTTATTCAATCTGCGTCGCCCCTCTCGAAACCCATTTGCCCTTGCCACGCTGGACGTGACATGTACGCAGTGTTATATTTCCTTACCTGGGTGGTTGTCTCACATGACACCATAATTATGCATTGTTTTATGCATCTTATAATTTTTTAAATTCTTCATTTTTGGTTAAAGCAACTTCCTTAATTCTATATCCCAGATAGCTGAACTGCAAGTACATTTGTATACATGTTTATCTTCCAATGCACAAACCAAAAATTTAAAAAACTATTTATAGAAGTCGAAGCGACAAATTTAGCAGCCAAACTCCCCTTTGCTTTTTTAAATCAGAGAAATGGTCTATATTGTAATACCCACAACATCTACTACTCTGTATGATGTGACACTGAGAAACCCAAGGTCAGTCCGTGTGAAACTGCATTGCCCAGACTATAGGTAGAGGGCTTGATTGCAGTGGTACTGCAACAGGAAAGCCTTTGATGTTAGACATCAGTACCAAAAGATAACCCCTAGGTAGTGACTGGCGAATGTGTGGCACTCATCACAATCGGGAAAAACCCAGCAAGAACAGTATTGAGGGTAAAAGAAGACGAGATCACTGCAGCCACACTGAGTCTGAAGGGTTGGGGAAAATTCTTGAGTGTCTTGTCCAACAAAAAGTTGGATGCAGGAGCCTGGAGCTCAGAAGAGGGGTGTAGCCTGGACCCAAGCCTCTGGATGTCATCAACTCAAACGTCGTCATTGAGGTCAAGGACCGGTCCCAAGAAAATGCTTGAAAGGCAATCTATCATTTCTCATTTTTCTCACATCCCAGTTCATAAACTATGGTTAACTTTGGCAGTAGGCCAGATGGTATTTCTATAAGCACTAAGTAGGAGTTGTCTACTATCAACTTTGTCCTTCATGCTGAGTTCCAGGTAAATATAAGATAGCACATTACATATGTTAAAGCTTAAAATCAAATAACCTTACTATTTGTAAATAGATCCAACTGCCTCTAGCTAGATAAAAAAAATGCTTCTCAAGGATAAAAGTATCATTTAGAGCTACCCGACAGTAATGCTAACTCCCTGAGAGAAAGGCTTATTGGTTAAGTAAATGTCAAGTTAGCACAGAGTTATGCAGCTACAATAAGGTATTAAAAGGTACTTTGGAGACATCTGGCTTATAAGAATTTCTGATATTGTAGCTTCAGATTGCAAAGTTAGAAAAAAACAAAGAGAATTCATTATTACTTAGGCAAGGAGTCCTACTTTTGCTTAACCCACAACCAAACAAGGGAACTTAACAGTTCTGAAGGGCCCTAAACGGTCTAAGATTTTGAGCAGAGCCCAGGTAGGTCTGTAAACGGGCACATTTACTCAAAAATTGCCAGACGTCAAGATCAATAAAACTATGATTCACAAATTACATTTATCTGGAAGACTGACTGTATATATTCATAATATTAATTAAACATGAAGTTTTATATTGGCCGACTATCATTTCCCCTCAACTAGCCTTTCCTCCAAATCTATACACAACAATCCCATAATCAGTTGTGTTTAATTTCAAATCCCTGGAGGAAATACGTGAAACCCTTTGCTAGCCACACATGTGTTGGTTTAGTTTTATTTTGTTTTTATTTTATTTTAGTTTTATTTTGCTATCTGTGTATTATCCACATCCATGCCTGTCATTGTGTCTCTTATCTTCAACCCTAAAGTGCTAGAGCACATGGACAGAAGTTATCTAGATCATTCCATGGCAGAGTGCCAAGTAGCCATATGAGACAATTGCAACAAGTGATTTAACATATAAAATTATGAGGAAAATGTTTTTCTAGGATAATTACTTGAGGGCACATTTCATCAGATATCCTCTTTACAAACCATACATGATGCAGTATTTCCACATACTATGAACATCTGTCATTTGTTCTTCACCTACAAAGTACTTACCACAACTCCAATGAAAGTGTTCCCCTTTTTTTTGTCTTTAACATTCTCCTTATTTTCGCAGATACACAGAAGATAGCTGGTAGAAGTATCAGTCATTATCTCATCGACATTTATAGCATCATCCAGCTTGACTAAAGGATTCACATGTAATAATTATTAAAGAAAAATATATGTTACATTCCCATTAATATTAACTGTTTTCTCCTTTGAATTAATGGTTCATTTTTCCAGGCATTTTTGCTCTGTGCAAAACTCTTCCACACAGCATTCATTCTTCTGATTTACTCCGATCATAGTTATATGCCTTATTGTCCCTAAGGTACAAGGCTCCTGAGGACAGACAACTACATCTTCTCACATCCAAAGGGCCCTGGAGAGCACCTCAGGCCTTATGGAAGCACAAGTGTTACCCCTCTTCTTTACCTGAATGATGCTGAGATTGAATCCTTAACAATCCCCTACTGCTTAAGTCCGTAAGTCAAAGCATGAATACACTAAAATAGTATAAATTACTTTAGCTCCCAGAAATAACAGAATTTAAATAAAAGAATTTTTAAAGACACGAGAAAAGAAAATCAAGAAACGGAAACATACGTGTGTGTGTGTGTGTGTGTGTGTGTGTGTGTGTGTGTGTGTGTGTGTAGTCAGTCCATTAATTAAATTTTCAGGGATCAATGCTGATTTGGGATGAAGTCAATCTAGGAACATCCAATCTGGGCATCAATAGCTAAGCGCTATAGCAGCAGCAAAGAGAAGCAAGGAAGGATACTATTTTAGGAAGGGACTTTGAGCAAGAGACTCAAGTTCAGGCAATAGAAACAATAAAATTACCCAATTCTTACAGCCTGATCAGCTTAGAATAACACAGGGCTGTTAATGGTTTAGGGTTTAGGGTGCATTTTGAGTGATAGCCATTCCCTATTCATGACATTAATGGAACAAAACAGTATTCATGGGCCAGAATAACACAGGGCTATTAATGGTTTAGGGTTTAGGGTCCATTTTGAGTGATAGTCATTCCCTATTCATGACATTAATGGAACAAAACAGTCTTCATGGGCCGGCCGAGTGGCTCAGTTGGTTAAGAGCTCACTCAAGAGTTTGAGCTCTGAGCAACAGCGGTTTGATGCCTGGCCTGAGCTGAGCAGCCTCTGAGCTGCCAACAGGTGGCGGGATGGCTCAGCTAAAAAAAAAAAACAGTCTTCATAATTTGGGTTAAAGCTAAGCAGGTCTCTAAAAAAGCAGATTTGTAATAAACTGTAACAGAAATATTACTTTCACACAGTAGCATGTAAGACCTAATCTTCACAATCTTTTATTCTGGGAGACCTGATCCCATACCACAGTACACATTTTATTATAAAATACATCCTTATCTCATTTTATATATAATTATTTGGTTCTAATAAATCAACAGAATTTTAAGACCTTGCTATTGAAATAATTTTACTTTAGTAACTCGATGAATTTATGAATAACCATAAATTTGGGGGAACTCATAGTGCACACTGAAGATTCTTGCAAAGCGAGAAAGCTTCACCTATAATCAAGATAATAAAATTTTTATGACATTAACAATTAATGAAGATACCCTACTATTATGTTTTATAAGCAGGTAATTGTGTGTTAACTTTATAGTTTTCTCATGTTGAAGTTAATACCTTATTTTTTAGGACTTGTCTTAGGAAGGCCTGTAGCAGCTAACAGGCACTAAGTCCCTAACCACTGCCCACACAAGTGGAGGGAAGGTGTGATTTTAAATCAGTTGCTAGCCTGCCATCATCTTTAATCAGGCTCTCTTTTTTCTTGCTCTGAAAGTATAATGAACTCTCCTTCTACCATGGCATTGAAAAATGCTTCTTTCCAGCCATTGCCAACCCTTCTCCTTTCAACAGTGCACTAATCAGAGGTCAAAGTACCCATACCACCTTATCTCATCCAAAGGGTACCCTTTCAAAGAACAATTTTTAAAAAGCTATTATTGAAGGGCCGGCCGAGTGGCGCGTTGGTTAAGAGCTGGCTTGGGACGCTCTTGAGGGGCCCGGTTCGGATCCCACATATTAGCTGCCCTCTACAGCTAAGATGCTGAACAACAGCTCAACCTGGAGCTGGGCTGCCATGAATCGCCGGCGACGGCTAGGCTGCAGCCCCTGCTGCAAGTGGGTTGCCATGGGCTACCGTGTGTAGCCAGCAGCCGCCATGAGCAGCCGTCCAGAACCCGGCGACTGATCTGCCTCGGCCCGGGAAGAGCGCAATGATGGTGCCAACTTGGGCCAGTGAAACAACGTCCTCCACAACTAGACTGAAGACAAAAGGACAGAAACTTGTCTGTTACCCTTCCCCCAGTTCCCCAGCACTGTTCCCCTCCCCCAACTCCCCCAATAAAAATCTTTAAAACTAAATAAATAAATAAAAAATAAAAAGCTATTGAAAACAAATATTTGTAAAATTTACAAAAAAGTATCCTATTCAAAAAGGATATCTTCTCCAATAAGCGTAGATTTTGTATAAAGAGCAGTCAATTTCCGGGAAAAGAGTGAACTTTTGTTGTCCCCAATGGCCTTTAAAGCTGCTGTTTCAGTTTGCTTCACAACTCCTACCTTCAACAAAAATAAAAAATATTAAATATCAAATATGATTGAAATGCTTTTACAAAACATGCTTTGGGATTTTAAAAGGTTAATTCTGAAACACTTACCATAGTTTTTTTAAAATTGCCCCTAGAAATCTAAAATGTTAAAACTCATGAAGATATAATTTTAATAATTACGACACATTTTCATTTTCCCAAAATGCCGAATTCCAAAACCAGTCAGAGCCTACCACCTTACAAAACGTGTTTTCACTCCATGGAAGAGAAGCCAAGGCTGACCTTATATCCCTTTGACACAAGGCGGCGTACGTGAACGAACAGTCTGTGAGTAGGTATGCTTGCTGTCATAAAGTTGTGATCTAAATGGCAATAAATATTGAGCTCCCGAGCTGCAATCTAAAAAATTAAAAAGAGAGTATCAATAAATTTCTATTTCAAGATTCCCTGTGGGGTACTTGTTCACTTTATTGAAAAACCGTCAAGGAATAAACTTAGGATTTGTGCCCTTGTCTATCTGTGTGGTGTTATCAATAAAAAGTTTAAAAGACATCTCTGTGTAGAAGCCTAAGGTTTAATCTATTTTTGGCCTAACCTCAGAGCCAACGTCTATATCTATAAACAACTCGGAAAAATATGACAGGGACTTCTTCTATGTCCTTAGCTCTATCAAAACTTTAAAGTGCTGTAGCTTTCCCTGAACAAGGGCTATTCAATGCAGAGAGCAGGACACTGTAATAAAATTAGAATGTACTACATAGCACATGCAAATAACTGAAAATGAGGAGATACTAATAGAGTATGTATAATACTCTATTATTGTATATTATTGTATGTATTAATTACGAACTTACTTGGACAGATGGCATCTTTGAGGAAGTGAGAAGAGAACCCCCTGATCTGGCTAGCTAATTCTTGATGCATGAGTGATAGGAATGCAGAGCCAGGCAGCACCACCTGACTCCTTGCTTTCTTCTAGAAAGCTCCATGGCTCAGAGACTGCCAACTAAAGCCATGAAACTCTCATTCTAGGACTCTCCCTCCCCTACCCAACCCATCTCTGAACTGTTTTAGTTCATCACTGCAGGTCGGGGCAGGAAAACATCAGCCTTTACTGTGGTGAAGGCTAACTTGATCATTTGACCTGGAGAGAAGAAGAGAGAGCAGCATTTCTTTTCACCACGTCACCTATAGGGGGCCAACTACGTAATTGTTCCTGTTATGAAACATGCGGACTCTGTTTCAAAGTCTAACTGCATAACACAGAACACAGCATAATGCCATCTGAACTAGAGAACACTATTTTCTTGCCACAACAGGATTTAGGAAACCGGAAGAAAAAAAGTTGACCAAGTCTTCACTTCCCATCCATGAGGCAGCAGGTGTGTCCCACTCATCACTCTGATGATGTACAATACAACCAGGCCTGAAACCGGAATCATTACAATCTTCCAAGACTCCAACAAAGCGTCATCAGCAACACTCTCCCTAAGCTTGTCTTTAAATGTTCAAATTCACTTCTAACCTTCTAACTGAAATTAAAATTAAACACAAACCCAACCTAGACCAAGATAGGAAGATGAATGAAATACAAAGAGACCTGTAAGACTTCAAATGCCTTCTTTTGGTGGCTGCCAGAGTTAATGTGCTCTTCCATTGACTTAAGAATGTTCCCGGCTATGAAAATTTATAAATTAAGGGTATACAGGGAAACTTACTTACATCTCAAAATTTTTTTCTTGCTTTAGTCTCCATCAGGAAACATAGATACTGACACAAATACGGTTCACTCACTAACTGATTCATCCAACTTTCGATGGAAGAAAGGTGCTGAGCTAACATCCTGTAGAATAAGCACTAACATTCCAATAGGGGCTCCTCACCTTCTTCCCCACAAATCTAGCACCCACCAAGTCTGATTGTGCTTATTTTTAGTTGTTACTCTAAATGACAGCATTTTAATTAAGGGGTAATTGGTTACATTTGCTTTTTCACAACATCAGAAAGTGAAACAAAAACACTGGGAAATATTTAAGGCTGAATAAGAAAACCAAGAAACAATGTTTCAAAAAACAGCTTACCTCTGCATCTTCCCCAAAGAATCTATACTTATATCCACATTCCACACACAAAATTGCATCTTTCTGCTTCTGCTTCATTTCTATATATTGTAATTCTAATGGCGTATAGATGCTTTTGGTCCTTTTGTTAGATGGTTTAGAATCAGAAATTTTCTGTAAGTTTTCATAACTCCCGTGTGATGATCCAAAATGACTGAGATCAGAAAGTGTCTTGTCCTGGCAACCAAGAGAGTTTTATGGTTTAAAAAGTACTAATCATAATAATAGTTCCCAGAGAGAATATACATTGGGTACAAAGTAACAACTGGTGAATTTAAGTGAAAAGTATACAGGAGTACATTAAGGAGTATATAAAGGAGTATATTAAGGCGAAATTTTTTGTAGGTTTGAAATTTTTTCAAAGTAAAAGACAAAAAAATATGAGCCCAACTAAACTATAATTATTAAAGAAAATTTTGAAAGCCAAAACATTTTAATATTTTATTCTTTTTACATTTCATTTCATTAAACATACTATAATTCACATTTTTCTTTTCACTATTTATTCCCAGGTGTGTGAGGTACAAAAAGTCAGCAGGTGTGAAATCCGTGTCTCTCTAGCAGTAAGGCAGAACAGAACCACTTTCAATAAGCATGCTGGCAGCTAAAGTTACAATATTTTACATTTCCAAGCATAGTCTAAAAGATTGCATATTCCATTAATCTTTATTCCAAGAAAGAACCACAATTACAGCTTTTGGAAAGTATAAAGCACAAGGTTACATTTTCAACATTGGCATTCCTGCTATCCCTACTTTCCTGGATGAAAACCATAATTAATTCCAATTCACAACTCAGAGCAAATTCTTTGCTTATAAGACTTATTGACACAAAAGGTAAAATGAGACAACAAATTGGCAGGATAAATCCAACTCCTAATTGTCACTATGTCACTGCCAACATCTAAAAAATTTACCAGCTACCCCTGGCATTAAAAACATGGCCTAAAAAATTAGTAACCAACACGCGAAGAAAAGAAAGAGAAATGTCCTATATGGCTTAGAGAGGGGAACTCTGGTCTAAGAGAAAACCCATTAACATGTATTTCACAGTTGCTAAATGTTTAAAAAATTCAGCTTAGCTGGGACAGCAGGTAGAGAGATGCAATTTATTTGAAAGTATAGTCCAGCAAACCTCTGAAGATCAACAATAGCACGACAGTAAAGTATGAAGAGGTATAGCAAGAGAAAAGAGGGTCAATATATCAGATTGGACAAAGCATTTGCTTTTAATTTTGATGAGGATTTTCTACTTCATTTCTATGACTTTTAATGTAAAATTCAGGAATACAACATATTGAAAAATTTAATACTTCAAAAAATGATTTCCCAGGGAGAAAAAACTATTTACTTTATACCTTATTCATATATGGAATGAGAGTAGGTAAACAGAGAGTTTTATGCATATATACATCAATCTGAATACTTAAGTATTAAGCAACAACTTTTTTCAGCATTTAGGTAAAACTAATTCTCGGATATATTATACTCTTCCATATTCCCAGAGACAGTATCCTGAGCTCAATTTAACTTTGTCTTGACAACTCAGGGTAATCAAAATAATAAAATGGGAATTTCAGGACCTATCAAGACTTATGGGGTTGTTGAGCCCACACTAATGGTCTCAGACCACTGGGCATTTAAGTTTATTCAGTAGCTTTTCACCATTCGTCTGCGTCCTTCGATGCCATCAAATAATCAGCTATCACTTGTAATAAGATCCATGTATTACTTCTGGTATCCCTTCTAACTAGTTACCTGTAGCTTTCTGTGAATCAGAAATGCTAAGTTGGTCATTCTATGCATAAAGCAACAGTAAACAGGCTCTTCTGAGGCCCTAAATTTGCCAATTAATAAATTGTGAGCTTAGATAGACAAACTTTTTTACCTCTATACTTTATGACCACTACACCAGTTAACTGCTTCTAAGTATTAAAGGAGATTAAAATAAAAACCAAAACACCTTTTTTTCCTGATGATCTAAGATAAATCAATGAGTCTTAGTTTGGTATTTTTCTGAGGAAAGAATCTATAATCTTCATTAGATTTAAATCACTCAGAAAAAAGGTAAAGACTATTTATTTCTCCAATTCAATGGTTCTCAACCATGACTACACATTAAAATGAGAGCTTTTAAACAATATCCATGCCCAGTTCTCATTGAAAACCAATTAAATATGATTCTAAGGAAAAGTTCTTGCTGTCAGTCATTTTTAAGTTCTCCAGTATTTTCTAATTTAAAGCTGGGCTGAAAAACCACTATTCTGAATTACAGGTTTCAATGATGGAGCAAGAGAGTTAAATTTCCTGCTTTTGCAGTGATGAAAAACATTAATATATCACAAAACAGTAAAAGTAAAGAGCCCACATTCATTTGGTTTACCTTTGAATTTACTTTATTTTAGTGAAGCTTTCAACTGAAAACTTCAAAACAGCTATATACATTGCCCATGGTCACTATCCAGGCTAATCACAGAAACTATAGGGAGAACTATAAAAATCTGTGCTTATTATTAATCATCAACAAAAAATCCCCTCAAGTCAATGGCTTCTGATCACAGTTGTACATCAGACACACCTGAGGCTTTTGCTTTGTTTTGTTTTAATACAAACCAAGTCATCCCTCCTTAATACACAGTAAATCAAAATCTCCAGGAATGTCAAAATAAAACAAAATAAAAAGCAAAAGCTCCCTCAACTAATTCAGATGATCAGCCAAATTTGGGAACCGTGCCCTGAGTGGACCCACAGAACCTAACGGCACTTCAGAACCTACTACTCTGGGTAGTTCAATATTCGCCAATATAACTGCTACCTACCTTTTGACTAGCTTGAGGTTTGGAATCTTCAGAAGAAACTGCATTCTTTGCACGCAGAAGACTGATATCGTCAAAGTCAGTACATTTTGGCAGAACTGCAAATCTCTCCTGAAGAGGCTCTCTCTGGACTGTATTTTGAGGAAGAGCGGAATCGCAGCAGAATTCTCTCAGTTTTTCCAGAGACTTTAAAACCATCCTGGGCCTCAGACATTTCTTTGGCTCTTAGTTAGCAAAGAAAACGAAAATATAACAATAGTATTTTGTCTCATTATGTCAATTCATAACCAGCACAGAAGTTTTAAAGAGGGAGCTTTTCACCAAAGCAATTAATCTAACTATTGGATTGTCGGAAAAGTCATGACGTATTTTTCTATGTTTTTCATTGCAAAAATGCGTCATGACTTTTCCGACAACCCACTAAAATAGGACACAGAAATAAAGAAACATTGGTTGGAGGGTACAGGTGGTATATTGAAACGTATTCTAATTTTGCTTGGTCCTAAAACCCCCTGCCTTCTTTTTATTATCATTATTATTTTTTATTTTTGTTTTATTGTATTTTTTTTGAGCTATAAGCCCACAAGGACGGAAAAGAGGTAACACTTGCAAATGAAATATTTGAAGCAAAAAGGAAAAACGAAGGAGCAATACCAATTTAACATACCTGAAAGCTAGATCCTAAGTCAGTAGTGAAGAAACCCAAGGACCTATCCTACTTATAACATAAAATGCTTAAAAGGCTCAGGAATTAGGGCACCAGAAGCCTGGAAAGGGAATAAAGGGAGGTTCTAAAACAAAGAAGATTGTTTCGAAGCAATTTGACCCCTAGACTTCTATCCCACTCTAAGCTGTTCTTTCACCATGTCAGCAGAGGGCTGGAGATTTCTCTGCAAAAGGCAGAACATGCACAGTTGAGATGAAGTACTGTGCCTAAGCCAGAAGAATACTGATGGGAATACGGGCTTACTGTATGCTGACAAACCCAGCCTCTTCTCACCAGCTCTCAGAACACAGCTCTTCCCTCTAGGTAGAAGCTAGGTAGACCCTGGGCTGGGAAATCTGACCAGCTCACTGGGAAAGACCTAAAGATACTGATACCAGGGGTGCACCAAGGAAACCAGGTCACCATCCCAAACACAGCTGCTTTCCTGCCCCCACAGCTGTGCTCATGCTATTCTTTTCCCTGGAATGCCCTTGCCCCCAATTTCCACATGTCAAAATTGTATTCATTCATCAAGACCCATCTCAAAGCTACCTTTCCCATGAAACTCTCTGCTAATTCCCAACTTTTCTTTCTCTGTGTTCCTATAACAAGATCATCTCTCTCTACAGCACTTAATCATAGTCTGCTTATTAGCAGTTATTCATAAGCAAACAACCCATAAAAGAAGGGAAACTGTCATTTACTGGATATCTACTATATGCCAGAATACATTATTTTACCCTTTAGAGCAAGACTAGCATTAAGCAGCTATTAAATATAAGGAAACTGGGACTGTATTTATCATCTCTTACTTTCCCTTTTAAAGCAAAAACACTGACGGTAAGAGTTGTGTTTTATTCATTTCTAAGAGCTTAAAATTTTTCATATTAATACTTAAACCTCTTTTCAGATGTATACTATATCTTGTCTCCTGCTAATCTCGTAGCTAGAAAAATTGTATACGTGAATCTCTTCAAATGTATATATCCACCCTATTTACTATTACTATCCCCCTTTCAAAATGTATATTTGAATCACTTTTCAAAAGTATATTGTAAGTTTGTATATTATACAAAGACTTCCCTCCTATGAATACAAAACACTTTCCCAGGATGGGGGTAGGGTGCAAATCTTGGGGTTGTACTTATGCAAAAGAAAGAATATCTAAAATGGACATTTTAAAAACAGAGGTGAAGTAGCCAGCAACTTGTCTCGCTGGTAGACACTCCTCTCTTTTCTTCCCAGTCCTTTTTTTAAATAAGCTGTAAAGTTCATATTTCAAAAACTTCCATGTTTCTGGCCTCATTTCCACAAACTTCAGCGTTCATTGGGCTGGATCTGGAGTAACGTGGACCTAGGGACAAGGACGCCGTGTGTGTGGGGAGACCCCTTGATGGCTTTCTTTCATGCCCTCCTCTTTACCCTCCTTCACTACCCTACTACCCAACTCCCACCGCTGCCAAGGACGGTTCCACCACAAAGCTTAATTCCTGAGCTGCTGCCAGTTCAGAAAGGCTTACAGAAAGGTATGGGAAATAATGAAGAAAGCAGCTTTTTTTTTATATGACAAATTTGCTGAAGCCAAAAACTAGAGAAAAATCGCCTAACCATCTAAATATCCAACATGACATCTAGAAGTGTAGGAGCTCAGGAATGGTGGTTTTATCCAAAACCTTTCAACATACAATAAAAGTAGCTCCATGCTAAAAAAAAAAAAAAAAGAAAAAAAAAGAAAAGAACAGAGTAGGTCTACATGTCCCGACACTGAAAACTGTTCAAAATGTTCTGCTAAGTAGAATTAGTTGCAAATTAGTATCTACAGTACCATACAACTTATGAAATATTATTACTACTTGTGGGTCTAGCTCTATACATATGTGTATAAACAGAAAAACCTGAAATATACAGCACCCTCCAAAATTAGCAGCAGGCCTCACTGAAAGGAGAGATCTGGGGGTCTTTCACTATCTATCTGCTACATTTCTGTATTGCTTGAAATTTTTACAACAAATATGTTTTACTTTTATAATCAGAACAAAAATTAGCTAGAGAGAATAAAAGAGAAAACTGGGAGAACTACAGCCAAATCGCAGAACTCCAGCTCTTACCTCCCTTCCCCCAACCTCCTACACACACCACCACCACCACCACCACCACCACCACCACCACTTATGGAGGGGCCACTCTATTCAAATGCAAGATCTTTCTCCACAAAGGAAAACTATGGCACAACTCTCCAATAGCCTTCTCTGCCCTCTGGATAATCCATGAATATCAGAGCCATGACTAGTGAGAATGAAAAATCATTGCAACAGAACTCACCAGGGTTTCCAGACTTTACTGAGTCACTTCGTCCCTCCTTTTCTTGGGCTTTCTTTGCTTTCTTTGTAACAGGCCCATCATTCTCTAGTGGTCTCTTTTTACTTCTGTCAATTTCTGCAACCTATATCAGGAAGGTCAGAAAATGAAGTGTTACCTCTGATCTCAAAACATGATGTACATGAAATCATTTAAACCTTCCTTCTGAATGTCCTTGACATCCAAGCAAAGTCCTGACTGGATATCCACCCTTCCTAGGGTCACCTAATTTGAGCTCTGAAAAGACCTACGGGTAAAGAAGGGTTTTACCATCATTAAAGTCAAGGTGGAGACTTGGCATGAGCCTCAGCATCTCAACCCCTGCTAGAGTTAATTAAAGCCAAGGATGCCACTTTTCTTTACAATCAGTCTTCATCTATCTCAAATTATATAACTTGAATCACTCCATTAAGTATGTTAAATAAAATACCTTTTCTTTTTTCTTTTTTTTTTTTTAGCTGAGCCATCCTGCCACCTGTTGGCACCTCAGCGGCTGCTCAGCTCGGGCCGGTACTCAAACCACTGTTGCTCAGAGCTCAAACTCTTGAGCGAGCTTTTAACCAACTGAGCCACTCGGCCGGCCCTTTAAATAAAATACCTTTAAGGAAAAAAACCTAGTATTTATAAAAGATGAAATTAGACAAAAGAACAGTATCAATTTTGAGATGTTAATTGTAATTTATTTTTTATGTTCACCAATGAAGATGCCACAAGATTACGAACATTTGTTGGCAGGAAGCCTGTCAAAAACTTAAGTCCTTCACCAAATACCCTCTAAGTGGTGGGTACAAAATAAAACCTTGGTAAATTCATGAAAATGTACACTATAGTAAAAAAAAAAAAAAAACGAAGAGTGAAGCAATCACTCTATGGACAAAATATAAGTTAAGCATTTTAAATCTTTCAAAACAAGATTTTGAAGCAGCCAAGCTGTCACACGCATTAAAACAGTCTGCAATCGGGGCCGACAGTTAGCTCAGTTGGTTAGAGCGCAGTGCTCTTAACACCAAGGTTGCTGGTTCGATCCCCACATGGGCCACTGAGCTGTGCCCTCCACAACTAGACTTAAACAACTACTTGACTTGGAGCTGATGGGTCCTGGAAAAAACACAGTGTTCCCCAATTTAAAAAATTTAAAAAAAAACAAAGAACAGTCTGCAACCCCCTTCAACATCCTCGGTTTGAGAAGTACTGTACCAGGGACCCCAGCGAGGGCTCACCCTTAGGTTTTTCCCTTTGGTTAAAAAAAAAACAAAAAACAAAAAACACAACTATTCATTTATTCAGTGTAAAGGTGACAAGCAACAGGAAGGATCTAATGACTAACCATCACATCTGCACCATTTTGGGAAACTTGATCCACCCAAATTGTATGAGACTTTACAATCTGAACTACAGGGGATGTAGTCACTGGGGAACTGCACAATATGACTGCTTTTACCGGCTTGAGATATGGAGCAATGTTGTTGCAGCCTTAAAAACTAGAGATTTAACAGTTTTCGTCTAGTCACCTACAAACAAAACCCATATAAATCAAATAAATAAAGCTCCTCTTCACCTTTCAATCCAGGGGAGGTAAAAAAAAAAAAAAAAGGACGGAGGATGCAGGTTAAAAGCTGTATCCTTTGCCTACATACCCCTACCCTCATAAGAATGAGAGTCAGGAGACTTGAGTTCCTGTCTCTGGTCTGTCGTTAAGAACCTGTGTGATCCCATATAAATCAAATAAATAAAGCTCCTCTTCACCTTTCAATCCAGGGGAGGTAAAAAAAAAAAAAAAAAGGACGGAGGATGCAGGTTAAAAGCTGTATCCTTTGCCTACATACCCCTACCCTCATAAGAATGAGAGTCAGGAGACTTGAGTTCCTGTCTCTGGTCTGTCGTTAAGAACCTGTGTGATCCTGGCCTCAAGTATACTGCCCCAAAGGGAAGCTACAATCTTTGCATTACACTTAGGACTGAACGGCTAGGCAGTTCACGCTTTCACCTTCCGGAACCCCGCCCCTTTCTCCTCTGGCACCATCAACTCGATGATTCTGGCCCGGGGCTCCCGCTCCACCCAGAAGCACCGTCCCCGCCCATCTTGCCCCGCCCCCTCTCCCTGATGACCCCGCTCCATCCTGGACTAAATATACCACGTGTGGCGGCACCTGAGACGAGAAGGTGGACGCTGGGGGCGCTGCGCAGTCAGAGTCAGGATCCGCCTTCCCCGCCGCACCCGTAGGGGAGGAGGTGGATTTCAGGCTTCCCGCAGACTGGAAGAATCTGCTCAAAACCGCTTGCTTTGCAGGGGCTGGCTCAGCGGCAGCGGCGCCGCCAGAGGCCAGCTTCCTGAGCGACATCGTAGGGCAGGGAGTGACAGCCGGGGGGGCAGGACCCAGGTGGGAGCGCCAGCCCGCAGCCGCAGTTGCCGAGCATCTGCAGGGCCGAGCACGTCGCGACCCAGCCGTGCGCCGGGGCGGGGGGCGGGGCGGGGCGGGGTCTCGCCTGCACAAATGGGAGCGAGGAGGCGGGGCGGCCACAATTTCGCGCCTAGCTTAGCTGGGGGTTCTGGTGGCGCGAGCGAGCTCCCGGGTTTTTACTGCCGCCAACATGGTTCGTCCGCTGAACTGCATCGTCGCTGTGTCCCAGAACATGGGGATCGGCAAGAACGGAGACCTGCCCTGGCCCCCGCTCAGGTACCTGCCGGGCCCGGGGTGGGTTGGTGTGAGGGGACAGAGGATGGTGCAAGCTGCCCTTGATCGGGGCACATGGACAGGACCGCGCTGGGCCGGGGGATGCGGTTGTACTTGCAACCTAAGCTAACGTGAGCTGGGCCTGGGCTTCCGCCTCGTCTTGAACCGAGAGAGGCCAAGTTATTGATTTCCATCCAGCTCCTGCTCTCCCGCGAGAGCAAAGTCCTAGCTCTGGAGCCCCTCCCTCCACCCCCCAGCACACCGTTTGGTGTGTTAGAGCTTGAGCCCAGGCGATAATGTTCTGAGTAACACTGTTTATCTAACTTGTAGGAATGAATTCAAGTATTTCCAAAGAATGACAACCTCTTCAGCAGAAGGTAATGTGGGATTTTTAAGTGACTGAGGTTCGCAAAGCGTCTTGAGTAAACTTACCAGTGAAAATTTTACTTAAATGAAAAGTTTTCCTTGTTAATCCAGGACCTTTTGTCTTAACGTAATTTGTATGCAGTTCCCAAGGTTTATTAAACTTTTTCATTTTTGGAAAAAAGCGTTCTTTGAAATTTTATGTGGGCACGTGTACAGTTGAGGTATTGGGCAGCAAGGTGTAGAGAGGTAAGCTCGGAAGGATGACCAGAGGAGGCCTTTGCAACAGCTGCTGGAAGAGATAGTAAGTGGAGAGGATAAAAGTCCAAAGAACTGTTACATGATACTCATATGGATGGGGATCAGGAAGTTAAAGGTGATACATGCAGGAAGGCATCAAAGGATGAACTCTCAGGTTTTCAGTTTAAGAGTCTGGGTGATATGGAGAATAAAGGAGTAGAGAATAGTGTGCAATTGTAACAATTTTAAGGTGCCTGTAGGATATTAAGGCACAGGGTACCAGGTGAATTGAGACATTGGAGAGAAGAGTATATAGCCAAGGAAAAGAATATGGGGGATACCCATTTAAAACCTAAGATGCGTATATTTGGTCATAGGAAGAGGAATAGCAGAGTTAAACAGGGGAACAGTAAGTCAGAAAAGAGCAGGTGCAGCATAACTTTAACAGGACAGATACAAGGCACTTAGGTTACTGATAGAGACAAGATGGTAAGAGCTTGAAGCTAAAGAATTGACATGAAACACTGTCTAGACTCCTAAGTAGTCTGATAATAGGAAGCAAAATATGGAAAAATGCTTAATCTTACTACTTAGTTTGTAAATATTAGTGTTTTAATAAAATCAAGTTAATGATTTTTATTTTATTATTTTTTTTTTTTTAGCTGAGCCATCCTGCCACCTGTTGGCGGCTCAGCGGCAGCTCAGCTCGGGCCAGACTTGAACCGCTGTTGCTTAGAGCTCAAACCCTTGAGCAAGCTCTTAACCAACTGAGCGACTCGGCCGGCCCAATGATGATTTTTTTAAGAAAACAGACACATGGTAGTCTGTCAGAACATACCAAGAATCAGAAATGCTTATGATCCTTTAATCCAGGTATCTGACTCTCAAAATTTATTCTCCCAAATAATCAAACCAAAAATGGAGCTATGTTTATAAAGGTTTTAAGGAAAGAAGCACAAATTTAAAGTACTTTAAGCTAATTGAGTGGAAGCAGCTATCTTTAAAAGTACGACTATTAATGTAAACCTACAAAGTATACAAATATGCATAATATTATATCAAACAGTTAAACAGTACTTTTCAGATGTCAAACATTATTCTAACTCTTCAAGCCCCACAACAGCTTTAGAAGTAGGAACTACTGGGTTGTCGGAAAAGTCATGACGTATTTTTTCTATGTTTTTCATTGCAAAAATGCATCATGACTTTTCTGACAACCCAAAATGTTATATCAGTTTTACAGATAAGGATAGTAAGAAAGATTAACATGACTTGCTTAGTAGATGACAGAATACATTCAGCTTGCGCGCTTTGACTCAGAATCTTTGCTCTTCACTACTATGTTATACATGACTACGATTGATTAAAGCTATAAATACTGAATATAAATTAGATAACTCCAAAGGGAAAAAGTTAGTGTATTTAAATAATGGGTGATAAATGGTAAGTTTGGGTAAAGCTGTTTTAAATTTTAATTTTTTTAAATCAGATCCACTAGAGGTCAATATAACAATTGTATATATGCATACATACAAATATATGAAAATATATATGTATATTCCCAAAATATACCTATTCTTTCTATGTGATTTTATAGGTAAACAGAATTTGGTGATTATGGGTAGGAAGACCTGGTTCTCCATTCCTGAGAAGAATCGGCCTTTAAAGGACAGGATTAATTTAGTTCTCAGTAGAGAACTCAAGTAAGCACTATAACTTAAATTCACCACAAGAAAATCATGTCCCATTTTTTATGGTGGAGGTCAGTGGATGCCAGAATAGTATGTAGCTATTGATGAAGCTGCTTAGTATCACAAAGGTGATTACAGAAAATGAATAAGCAGTTATTTATGCCACATGACCATAACTTCTGCTACGTAAGCGGTTGATTTCATCACCTTGAAAAGGTACATTAAACCTTACTACAGTAACAGAATTGCAAGCTTCCTTGAACCATTATTCAGTTCAATTCAGTAAGGTCAAATATCAGTTATATAATGTAAGTTAACATTTTCATTTTCACTATATATATATATTAGGACTTGCCAAAATTAAGTGGTTATCCCCTCTTTGGACCCAGCCCTAAATTCAGTAAGATGTAAATTTTAAGATGGGCAAAAAACTGGTCATAATCTTGTGCCCTATTTAATATTTTGTGCTTGTATCCCTTACCTTATGTCTGCAGACAAAAAAATGTCAAAGTATTGAAATGGTCCTAGGGATCATAAGGAGAAGGGAGTATGTCCAGGTGGCCTCTGCTAAGAATTTTTATGTCCTCCAAGCTAACACTAGTACACACAACACAGTTCCTGATGCCTGACAATGCCCTGGGAACTTGGGGGAAGGGGGGAGTAATAGCATTAAGACTACCCATGCCATCAACTCAGCACTTTCACCTTCACCATGACTTCCATGTCCTTTACTCCACATGGGATGTATCCTGATTTCTATATTTTTGTTGTTTACATTGGACCTAACGCACTAAAATAACTTCTTGAACCTCAAGGGTTGGTTTGTTTGGGGGGAGGAGGTTTGGCCTGAATTAGACCTTAAGGGAAAGTTTGGGATTGCCATGGCAATTGCTGTTTCTTAAACTACTAATGTAATCATAAAAAAGAATGCAGTATCCTAGGGCACTACTTGCTTGCAAAACCAGTAGAATATACATATATGTGCCTTAGAAGGCATTGGCTACACAGGTGTGGGCACTAGCGAAGCAAGTCCAAACTATGTGGGGCAGGCCATCTGGAAGGGAAAGCCAGAACTCACCAGCAGGGGCTGACGCTCATGGCTGCAGGTGAAATTGCTTCAGGGAAGCTTCTGATTTGTTTTTAAGGCCTTTCAACTGATTGAATCAGTCCCACCCAGATGGAAGTCATCCAGTTACCAACTTGAATCACCATCTATAAAATACCTTCACAGCAACACCTAGTGTCTGAATAGCTGAGGACGATAGCCTAACCAAGTGAACACATCAAGGACCAGCACACCAGAGGAAGGAAAAACATTACACAACTACAGGCTAAGGGGGTTCAGGCTTCTGTAGATTTTCTCCCAGATCCCCCTAAGAATGGCATAGGTAAAAATCTGGAAGAAAGTGTATCAGAATCTTTTCAATGACTGCCTTCGGGTGATGGGGGATATGTTGATGTGCATCTTGGCCATCTGCCTCCGTCTTCATACTGTTCTCTTTCTCCCGGTTGCTAGGATATTCTGATTACCTCTTTACTTTCTGGAATACAAAGTCGCAGATTGTATTTCCATTTCCAGATACTCTTTAATAACATTCTGGAATACTACCCAAGTTTATTTATGGCTAGCTTAAGCTACAACAAACAAATCTCAGTGAGAGAAATGTTCAGTTGAGCCAACAGATCTCAAATGACAAGTCTTTATGACAATTTCTTTATGACCCCTCTGTGGTGTGTGTAATTGGGTTTGGTTGTTTCTTATGTATTTTTATATAATATTTGTTGGTGTTATTTCGGTTTTTTTGTTTGCTTGGTTTTTTTAAGATTTTTTTTTTTAATTGGGGAATTGGGGGATGGGAACAGTGCTGGGGAATTGGGGGAAGGGAAACAGACAAGTTGCTGTCGTTTTGTTCTTCAGTCTAGTTGTGGAGGACGTTGCTTCACTGGCCCAAGTTGGCACCATCATTGCACTCTTCCCCGGCGAGGCAGATCAATCGCCAGCTTCTGGACGGCCGCTCACTGCGGCTGCTGGCTGCTCACACTGGCTGCTGGCCACACACGGTAGCCCATGGCAACCCATTGCAGGGGCTGCAGACTACGCCGGGCGACTCACGGCAACCCAGCTCCAGGTTGAGCTGTTGTTCAGCATCTTAGCTGTAGAGGGCAGCATCACTGGCCCTCATATGTGGGATCCGAACTGGGGCTCTCTGGCATCCCAAGCCAGTTCTTAACCAATGCGTCACTCAGCCGGCCCACTTTTTTTTTTTTTTAAGACAGAAAATTTAAAGTTTTTATTATTAAGCATGCCAAGGAAATGGGGATACCAGTTAGGAAAAAAATTTAGAGCTTATTTTTTGTTCTTCTGCTTCCGTGGTCAATTGCTGACCAGTTCCACACATATCCTGAGTACCTGTTGTGTGCCAGGCACTGTTAGGTCCTACTTAAAAGGGGAGTGCTGTGCACATGTAAATACTATTGCTCATGCAAGTTTTTAGAGACGCCCCTTCCCCCCATGTAAGAAGAAACCGAATCCTCAAAATAATCCCAAAATTTGCTGCCCCATACGAGGTATTTTGGGTAACTATTTCCTTAGTAAGTTATAAGGAAAAAATGTTTTTCCTTGGCTTTCTAGATAATCAAGTTATGGCTTTAAAAGAAATGTTATACATCCATCTTTGGAAAACATATTGCCACTTTCTCAAAAGATTAAACAGAGTTCTATGACCCAGCAATTCCACTCCTTGGTATATACCCAAGAGAAATGAAAAGCTTGTACCACACAAAAACTTGTACACAAATATTCATAGCAGCATCATTCATAACATCCAAAAATTGGAAACATCCCAGATGTTCAACTAACGAACAATAAACAAAATGTGCTATAGCCATACAATGGAATATTTATTATTCCACAACAAAAAGGAATGGAGTACTAATATATGAAAAGTAAGTAAAGAATGTTATACTGCAATGCTGTAGCTTTGACAGCATCTTTAGAAAGTCCAAAATTGCCTCCATGATAGAAGATGTTGTAAATTGTCTTCAATCCAAAAAACTAACAATTCATGGTTTAATAATTTTTTATGGTCTCACTATCATCTTCTCCACAGTGATTAAAACTTTCTTCTCTTCTCAAAGCTTAGTACACTTTACACTTAGTACACTCAAACACTTAGTACAGCAAAGACTTACCAACCTGGCTTGATACCTGCTCTGGCACCTATTAACTTTGAGGCTTCGGCTTTATTAACTTTAAGCCTTGCTGAACCTCAGTTTCCTAATCTACTAAATGGAATTAATAATGACAACTTCTTAGGGTGATTTTTGAGGATTAATTGAAATTTTATATCACAGGGCCGGCCGAGTGGCGCGATGGTTAAGAACTCGCTTGGGATGCCAGAGGGCCCCGGTTCGGATCCCACATATGAGGGCCAGTGACACT